CCTCCAAGCAAAATCGTCACGGATCTAGACTCGTTAACCTTCGTGACCATCAATCTTCAAAGGAATTTCGTCTGGATCTTCACTGAAACGATCTTGCGTTTTCCAGATCTTCATAGACCTTTCCAGCTTTGTTCCAGATCGTCATAGATCTTCAAGATCACCAAGCATCTTCTTCATCCGTTCAAAGATCCTTACACCACAAGCTCTTTAATCTCTTCATCAGGATCTTCGCCAAGATCCACGCGCGAAGTGAAACCATCAATTTCTTCAACGAACTTCAAGAACTCCCTGAGTCGTTCGTACTTCAAGCCAGGTGTGTCATTCTTCGACTCTTGTTCACGTTTTTTTCGTTGATTGTTGAATATAGGGTTTCATTGTGGTTCACTTAGCATTTAGGTTGAGTTTAGATCTTGAGCGGAGGTTTGGTGAGGTGTAGGTTAGGTTTGGGTTTGGATTCTTGTGAGAGAGTGAGGTGTTTGTTTGAGAAGTTTTTCAGAGTTTGGTTTGAATGTTTGAGAGAGATCAGAGAGAATTTGAGAGAACGAAGCGGCGCATGAGGTTTGTGGTGAACAGTGATGAGAGATTGAAGGAGGTATCTGGTTTTGTTGCTAGGGTTTAGGGTTTGGATTGGGCTGGGCCCAAAAGGCATTTTCTGAGACCATCTCCCTTGTTTACTCGTACCCCCTGATTATGAATAAAAAGCTGAACAATAGTAAGAGTTGATTGGGCCTTGCGCAATTGCTATGCGCACCCCTTTTGGGGCCCAATTCTGATGACAACTAGAATAAAATGCTATCTGCCACGCGTTTCTGTCTTTTTCTTTCAATTTCTTTGCATTTTATTCATTTTGTACATATTAGAAAATATTACATTAAAAATAGTAGGATAATCCATTTAATTCCATTCTTTTTCCCATAGGTTCACAATTCAATTTAGGATTTTATTAAATAAAAACATTAGTTTAATCATGCATTTTCATTTTAATTGCATTTTTTACATGTTTATTGATTTTGAAGTGTATTTTGTGGATATGTCTGCCTTGTAGATTTTATTCCTACCAATTGGTATTGATTTTTTTGATTGGCTTTTTAGTATGTTGTGCTAGACTGATGCATGCTCCCCATAGGATTTTTGTGGATTTTTTAGAGATTAATTGATATTGTTTTAGGGTTAGAGAATAGAGACCTCATAACTTGCTGGTTAACCCTTGACCATTCATATGTTAGGGATTGTTTAGTAGCCTTAGAAGTTGACTTAGGCTTTGAGATTTGATCTTGGCATCATAGAGCCATGTAGGTTTCCCCTAGATTTTTGGTAGATTTTTGTAGGGTGTTCTGTTATTTTTGTTTGAGCCTGAGAATAGGAGAAGTCTTGATAGGCTTCTGACTTTGAAGTTCAACTGCGGTTGAACTTCAGAGTTAGTTTCCTTTGGTTTGAGGGCCTGTGGTTTCTTCTGGAGGCTGGATGAAGTCTTGTTAGAGCTTGCAAGGATGCATAGATTGAGGTCTTAGTCTGGGAGCTTGTTCTCTGTTTGTGAGGTTTGAGACCATGAAGTTTGAGGGAGATTCATAGTACTTTCCTGAGGAAGGCACTATGGATGTCTTTCATTCTTTCTTCTCACCTCTTTCTCAAGTATCCAATGATGTTGGAGCCTTCATGTGAGTTTAGTTTCTCCTGAGGAGGAATGTAAACTGATCACAGTTGTTGAGCCACATGGGATATGATTCCTAAGTGGAAGCCCCCTAGTATTTTCCCGAGGAAGGCACTATGGGTCTGTTCACTTAGTTCCCTTAGTTCATATAGGATTACTCAAGTATCCAATGATGTTGGAGCCTTCATGTGAGTTTAGTTTCTCCTGAGGAGGAATGTAAATCGATCACAGTTGTTGAGCCACATGGGATATGATTCCTAAGTGGAAGCCTCCTAGTACTTTCCCGAGGAAGGCACTATGGGCCTGTTCACTTAGTTCCCTTAGTTCATGTAGGATTTCTCAAGTATCCAATGATGTTGGAGCCTTCATGTGAGTTTAGTTTCTCCTGAGGAGGAATGTAAACTATTCACAGTTGTTGAGCCGCATAGGATATGATTCCTGAGTGGTAACCTCCTGGTACTTTCCTGAGGAAGGCACTATGGGTTTGTCTACTTAGCTCCCTTTCTTTGGTAAGCTTGTTTTGAAGCTTGAAGACTGGATTGTTTTCTCTTGTGATAGGGTTTTGCTTAGAGATTTGATTAGGGTTTTGCATAGGGCTTTGATCAGGGGTTTGTTTCAGGGTTGTTTAGGGTCTTGCTCAGGGTTTTGGTTTAAGTTTTGGATAGGGGTTTGTCAGGCTGGTTCGCCTTCTCTTTGTGATTGTTTGACTTGTGTGGTGCTGTGCTGCATTAGACCTAGGGGTTCATCTAGATATTTATGAGGTAGGTGCATCTTAGAAGTAGGCTTTGTGTGCATGAGAAGTTGAGGTGGTCCTCCTTCTGCTTGTTTGTTATTGAGTGGCTTTGCTTGCTGGTATTTGGTAGAGCTGAGCTTCCTTACCTCTGTGGTTTGCGGCCTTTGCGCCTTGCTTGTTTGGTTGTTGCATTCATGCACATTTCCAGTATTTCTTTACTTTGCATTTGATTCCTGTTTGCTGTTTAGTCCTGTTGCCATGATCCCTTAGGAGCTCTAACTTCTCCGCTGCGGAGGGGTTATGATAGACATTAGGATGGTCAACCAGGCATGATAACATTAGGTAGATTCCCATTTTCAACCATAGTTTTAGGGTGTCTTTTTCCTTTCTCAATAGAGGAGCATTTGAGTAGCTTGTGTCGTAGTTAGCCGAACTACAGTTGCTCTGATTTCTCGTACCAGACGAGAATATGTAGGCATAGGATGCGATATCCTAGCGAGCACACTAACAATTAACCTTTTGTTCTCTCGCTGCTGTGCGATTGAGACTTTCCCGCTGACGACTGATGTTATCCCTTTTCTCTTGCCCTTGCGCATTTGAGACCAGATCGTAGTTTTTCCCATAGGGTCCCGAACCTTTAAAACCAGTTTAATTTCTCACTGCTGTGTGAGAACACCCAGGTTAGCCGTAGTTAGTCGAACTACGTTTGCTCTGATCTTCCATGTCGTGTGGAAGTACGTAGGCACAGGATGCGATGTCCTGGCGAGCAACCTTCCCCCCGTCTAGACGTAGGTGGTCGAACTACGTTGACTCTGACTTTCCCATTGCACGAGGGAGTACGTAGGCCCAGAACACCGTATGTTCTGTCGAGTCCTGTCCTTTTCTTTTCTTTCCAGACTGACCATTAGCGTAGATAGATAAACACACCCTTTTTCTTATAAACACCAAGCGTGGATCCCGTCGAGTACGACGGACGTGAGGGGTGCTAATACCTTCCCCTTGCGTAACCGACTCCCGAATCCAGGTTTTGGTTGCGATGACCATACCTTTTCCCGTTTTTGCGAGGTTTACTTCGAGCGTTTCCTTTCCCTCCGTTGGGATAAATAACGCACGGTGGCGACTCTTCTGTCAGCCGGCGCCGATTTTCGCAGTAGCGACAGTTACGAGCCTTAATCTACTTAGGAAATGATTGTTGGAAGGTTTCCTTCTAATAATCAGGATGTTTAGTATGGTACCCTTTGGGTGACATGCGACACATTCACTCCTAGGTCATAGTCTCTAGTGCGATATTAGTTGCAAACATCTATAAAAAACACTTCTTCCGTAAAAGACAGAAAACAAACTTCAAACCTCCTTTTTGCCCCGTGGGCCCTTAACTCAAGGAAAACTTTTCTAAGGAAAAGAGTGTCGTTAACTCTCAGTTCTACCGCAAACGGTAACTCACGAGTCTCTGACGAGCAAGCTGCATACACCAAACTGCTGGAGCTGTTTGTTAACCCTACTCGGAAAAACAGATGAATCTGAACCCCCGTAATCTGTATTATCCCGAACTATGTAAGCTCTGATCTCTCATATCTGTTGAGAGTACGTAGGCACAATACTGACGTATTGGCGAGCCACCTTCCTTGTAACCCGTAGTTAGCCAAACTACGTTGACTCTGATTTCTCATTCTCTGATGAGAATACATAGGCATAAAGCGCGATGCTTTGCCGAGTCATTTTCTTTTCTTTTCAGACCAGCCTTGATAGGTAGATAGGTAAAACCAACCCGTCAGATAAACACAACAAGTGTGGATCCCATCGAGTACGATGGACGTGAGGGGTACTAATATCTTCCCCTTGCGTAACCGACTCCTGAACCCAGACATGGTTGCGGTGACCTTGTCTTATACCTTTTTGTCAGGTTTTTCCTATCGTTTCCTTTCCCGTTCTGAGGGGTAAATAACGAAAGGTGGCGACTCTTCTGTTTTGTCGGCACCTTATTTTCGCGGTAGCGACATACTGCCCTTGTGTGCTTAGGTTGATGTTACTGCTTGACTGGTATTATAAGTGTTTTTCTGAATCTAATTAATGCATACATTCTGTTTGGAAATCTATTTGGAATTGCTATTGAAAACTATTTGAAAATCTATTTGGAGCTGTTATTGAAAAGTTGTATTGAACCAACCATTCTGCATATTAGAGTGCATATTGAAATGCTTGACAGGCTGCATATTATAGTCCATATTGAACTGCTGGACATACTTCATATTGAACATTCTAAACATTCTATTAGAGTGCATACTAAACTGGTATTGGTGTGTATATTAGAGTACTTCTTTAATTGGTATTAGAGTGCATATTGAACATTCCAAACATTCTATTATATTGCATATTAAACTGGTATTAGTGTGCATATTAGAGTACTTCTTTAACTGGTATTAGAGTGCATATTGAACATTCCAAACATTCTATTAGAATGCATATTAAACTAGTATTGAAAACTGGTATTGAAGTAATATTGAAACCAACTCACTTCAACAGTCATAAATTACAATGGATGTCATTCCTATCATTACAAGAGAAGCAAACATTATGCAAATTGGTATTGAACCATACTTTCTACCTAGTTGCATTCTACATATTACAAAACAACCAAGATGCAACAAGAACAAAAGTAAGTGTTTGAATGGTCTTGTGATCTTTTGCAGCCTTCAGCTTTAGTTTCTTTATTTTCTTATTCTTGAATACCTTCCCAAACTCATGACCAAACTCTTTCTCAAACTCACCTCCATATTTCTTCATATCCATTTTCATGTTTACACATTTAGAGCAACCTTCGTGGAATCTAGGTTCAACTTGTTTTCCTTGAAACAGTTCATCATCCCAATGAAATAGATGACAATCATCAACATTCTGGAAAAAAAGAAAGGAGATGGAACTCAAAAAACAATTGAATACACAAATAAATATGAACAAAATAAGTGAATTTTTTTTACAAACCCCCCAAAATTTGCACTTCCAATATCTTCTTCCTGGGTTTGAGCTTGATTTCGAAACATGGATTCTCATGGGAAGCTCATGCCTATAAACCGACGCTTTTCTCACACTGGACATGTAGCCTGAATTCGCACTTCCACTCATTGTCTTGTTTTGATGAAGATACGATCTGAATTCATTGAATGGAAGTACGGTTTGAGACATATAGTTCTGAACCCTATCTACAAACAAAAATTGGGAAAGGAAGAAGGATACTGAAACCTATTTATGAAACACATGATTCAGAAATGTGTATATTCCATGTAGACTATAACAAAACAAAAAAGCCACTCTGTCATGTCCAACTAAGCATTTAAGTTGACTAGATTCAATGAAGGACCAAAAGAAGAGAATTTTTAAATGGCAGAGATGAAATTCGCGTTTTTTTTACAGGGTCCTTTTTCGAATTCACCCCAAATAGCAGGGGTTAAAATGTATATTAACCCTTTTGAATATGTATTTTAAATTAGGGAAATGCTAACGAGTATCTCGGGGCACTGGTTAAGCGATTAAAATGGTAAGTTATGCATTATTTAAGAGATTAAAAGACATGTTTTTTTCTAAATATATATGTGTTGCAGTGAGAATCGGATGTCAAGCTATTGATTAACTTTAATCTTAATTCATTAAGGTTCACCACTGAGCTTTGATTTATCCAAAGGAAAGGTTAAAGAAAGAAAAAACTTTTGTGCGATGTAACAATGATGCTAAAGATTCAAATCGGGGGTTGGTTATGCTTAGGGTAGGTATTTCACATCCTAGACATCAGTAGTACTCTACAGGAACCTTTTGTGTGTGTGTGTGTGTGTGTGTGTGTGCTAAGTTATCTAAGTTGTTTGCTAGAGTTATTCGGGTCAAGGTTAGGGTAAATTTAAGGTAAAGACCTAAGGATAGTTCTAATTTTGCTCACAAAGATATCGCATCTTATGCCTACTGTCGCGGTGAAATTTTGATACCAAACTATTGATTAGTTTGAATCTTTAATTCAATTTGCAACCGAACTTTGATTTGTCCAAAGGAAGGGATAAAGATCAAAATTCCCACAATGCAATGCAAATGCAAGGTTAGATTGTTTAGGTTCGGGGGTTGGTTAAACTTAGGGAAGGTACTAGCATCCTAAGTTTCTGTAGTACTCTACAGGAACCTCTTGTTTTATGTTTGTTTATTGCTATGTGTTTATCTGCTTAATAGTTAAAAGGACCTAGGGGTTTATTTCTAAGTATACTCGATAAGATATCGCATCTTATGCCTACATATCCTTACGGGAGTGGAATTAGAGTATTTGTAGTTCCCCTAAAGGGTTTGAGGAGATCTTTGACTATGGTCAAAGTTCCTACGGGTTTAGGGTAGTTGTTTTGATTGGGTTTAGGAGAAGAGACGAGTCTTCATTTTAAGGGAGATGTAACCACCACAAGTGTAAAGGGGGTTGTAGGAAATGGTCTTTGCATCGTCTTAAGAAAAGGTCTTAAATACTCGGATGGTCGCCAAGTATGCCTTTATCGCTCTTAAGGCAAAGTCCCTACATGTTTGATTGTATTGTTGTGGGGGGTGGAGATTATATCTCGCTTAAGATGATTAACATCTATTCTCTAATGTGTTTGAGAAAGTTGTATTGTGTTAATTGTTTTGATTCTATGTTGTAAAGATAAAGACAAGGTCCTTCCTATGGGGTAAGATCTATCCTAAGAAGATCAACTTGAATGGGATCAAGGTTCGTGGGGAGAATGGTGCGAATGATATGCAACTACACACAAGTGTTGACTCATGTGTAGGTTTTCCCTTTGGACGGATGCGATGCGGAAATGTAAATGCGATAATGTAAATTGTGTGTAAAGTAAATTGCAGAAAAGCAAACCATACACGTACGCATGAAAGCGCTGAGGTGTAAGTGCAAGTGTCGTGAAGTGGGTGTGCACGATTGATTTTGCATTTTTCGATGTTGGTTGAATTGTTTTGAGAAAAGTTGTATTATTTGTTTTAAATGAATGGATTTATAAGGAAAAGTTGTATTATTTGATTTGAGAAAATTGTACTTACTTGATTTAAATAAAAGTTCCATTTTAATAATAATGAAAGGTTTGGTTGGCGACTTGATTTTTAATAAAAATAATTAACTTATTAATAAAAGATTTGAATTAAATTAGATAAAAGTTTGTTATAATTATTATTTTTTTTAGGTTGTCTGAAATGTGGAATGATTTTAAAACACATTATTATTATTGTAAAGAAAATGATTTATTAATTTTTAAAAGAAGATGATTAAAGAGCAAATTTATTTAACTAGTTTAATTTTAAAAATAATTAAAGGGTGACTTAGCTTTTTTAAAATGTTGATTAGATAATTGCTAATGGTGTGGATCTGTTGGGGATCCGGTGATTCGCGTATGAGGGTTGTGTCTGTGTGTTGTGATTCAAGTTGCAACCAAAACGACAACAAAACGTAAACAGAACGGCAGAAAAAAAGAAAAAAAGCATGCGAACCCTAATCCCCCAGATCAAACCCCTCCCCTATCGTGATTCGCCCCGTCTCGATTGCTTCCCTTTCACCTCTGATTGGCCCTTTCGTCGCCGATCGTTTCTGCATGTGAGTGGAACCTGCAAAATAAACAACTACCAAAACGAATCGCGTGTTAGTGGCGGCTTACAGTCACGATTTGCGGCGAAGGTGGCTTTAAAGAATCGTCGGTGGCTTTTTTGATAGTGGCTTCGCTTTTGTTTGTGGTGATGCTACGGCGAGAACGTCTGAGCGGACGCGAGGATGACGACTCTGCTGATCTGAGCTTTTTTCGTGACGTTTCTTGTAGGTTGAGATGAGTGATTCTTTGTGGTTCTCCTCGATCGGGCCCTAATTGCTGTGACTCTTCTCCGCTTTTATACATGAGTACTATGGCCCTCCATTGAAATTGTTTTCAAATCTTTCCTAATCGGTTGATTCATTGTCTGATCTTATTGATGATTTGGGAGGCAATCGTTAATTTCTTTCCTATTTCGTCTTGGTTTGTTTGGGCTATTCAAATCCTTCCTTATTTGCTTTGATTTTGTCGGTGACAAGCTGACCTCTGATTTTGGGAAGTTCAAACTTTTCTCTTCGTTTGACTTTGTCGTATCTTAACCAAATCTGCTGGCTTCATTGACTTTGTTATTAATGCTTTTCCTCTCTTTTTCGCAGGGAAAACTTCATACGACTTCAGATAGTTGCTTGTCTTATGCCGTGGTCGAGATAGGGTTAAGCCGGCGATGACGACATCGTGTCCGAGCTAGGAGTTGCAGCTGCCATTTCCTTTTGTCTCTTTATTTGCTTGGGACGCATTTGCTCTCTAAACTTCGGTGCTTGGTAGGAAGCTGGCGGCGGTACCCGTTGCCCTTCCGGCTGCTCGAGACTGTGCCCAATGATGAGGTTTTTGAAAAAAACTGAGGGCCTTGTGCTTTTATTCTTATCGAGATGCTTATCGTTGTGGTGAATGCTTGTTTTCAGATGTTCTGTTTGGTATTCGCAGCTGCTATATGTATGCTTCTCTTGCAAGTATTATCTTGCAACCGCTACTGATGTACGTTGCATTGCTGTTGTTAATGGTTACTCTTGAACTTTGTTTGCAGATGCTAACCGTGGCTTGTTATTGCTGATGCTTTCCTTGCTTCTTGGTTCTAATGTTGATGATGTTATGCCGCTGTGGAACTGATATTGCTGTTGAGGAACTGATATAGTTGTTGTTGCTTGCATATGAGTGAAAATGCTGGTGCCGTGTCGCTGCTAGCTGATACTATGTTGGACTGTTGTTGTTTGTATTTCAGGAGCCGCTATTGTCAGGGGGAGTTTGGAACGGTGATGATGACATCATGTCTGAACTGAGGGCTATGGTGGTCGTTGTTGTTTCCGGATGTCGTTTGATTCTTGAGTTGGTAGGGAGTTAGCGACAAATTCTCTTTGTTGCCCTCCTAGCTACTCGAGCCTTGCCCGGTGATGAATTAAATCTGAGGGTTAAGACCTTTCCATCTTTGCTCATGAATTTGAATTATAACCTTGTTGTCTGCTGGTCGAAACTCATGTTGCCTCTCTTTACTTGTTGTGACTGGTGCTGGTTCTGCAGTTGTTGCCTGTTCTAGCTAATGTTTCTTATAACTGGTTTGTGCCCGATGTGGGTACTGCCCGTTTGGGGTTGATTGCAGCCTTGAACTCGTTACTTTGTTGCAGCTTGAGGTTGTTAATTTGTTGGTTTGTTGGTTAATTCCATCCTCGTGTTTTGCAGGCGTACTGATTATTTGTGGTACTATTATTCATTAATGTAGCATTTGCAGAAGACTCTATATCTATGTGGCAATTTTCTGGTACCGTAATGGAGATATCTTCATCAGGAAAACTCAGGACCCCACCATGTATTTGTTGCTCCAAAGGTGGATTATTGTTACCGATAAGAATTGGAGCGAGGCAGCCTAGGATGCTCTCTCTCTCTCTCTCTCTTGTGTTGGCTGCTGATACATACTTCTTATTGCATTCCAAATTGACTGCGACTCGTGCTATCAGTTGTTGTTGTTCACCTGTTGTTGAATATTTGCTCGCAGTTAGCATTGTTGCCTTGATAACTTTTCTATTTTTTCTTCAGGTTGCTTGATGATTGGTTCAGAGCCCATTTGGTCTTAGCTCCGGTGCCAGGAAACGTATAACGGTGATGATGACTTGATAGTCTGAACTACATTGGTGTTGTCGAATGTAGTTGTCTTGCGAATTAAGTTGAGTTGTTCGAAATAGTTGCCTTAATTCGATTTTCGATGTTCGGTAGGGAGTTGATAATGGCTACGGTCATAGTCCTCCCGGCCGCTCGAGTCTCATGCCCGATGATGAATTGAACTGAGGGCCAGACTTAAATTCTCTTCCCCTTAAACCTCACTTTATTTTCGACTGCAAATTGAATAATGGTTGTGTTTTGACAGGTCGAAAGGGAGTCTCGGTCGCGGTAACTGAGTGGATCTCATGTATGCCTGGCAGCTGCGGGACTGGTTATAATTGCGACTATGGAGTCTATTGAAATATGATAACGAGCTCATGTTCAATCCGTCGTTAGCTTAGCGATGATGTTTGGTCCTACTGTTGAGAAGCGAAAAGTTCG